AGTGGCATGGTGCATACATACCCTTGGGAGACCCTCCATTTTCTCTATTTTGTGCTCTGCTGCAGCTTGGTGTCACAGCACACCAGTGGCCGGCACCTTTTTATTGTTGGCCGACAGCCCTTCTTCCTTAGTCGGTAGTGTGCACTCCTGGTCGGTAAGGGGGTCGGCAGAAGCTCCTCATGGCCGGCAGGCCACCGGTGCACTCCTCAGCACTGTTTTGGTGAGATCCAGCAGCTAGTTCTCAAGGACACCCTGCAGACAGAGCCTCTAAAGAGTATTTGGAGAGCATTTTCGGGACGAGAATCGAGCATGCATCTTCAACTTCTTCAAGGCAGAGCTGAGGCGGCCTAGTTTACACACTTTAATGCTTAGCATGAATTTGTAATTTAATTAATTCATTCGTTAATTAGTTAAAGTTTTGTAATAATTAGTTATAGCTAGTTATTCAATTTGGTTGTATAATAATTAGTCTAATTAGATTATTAGATTAGTTGATTAGCTTAGCGTAGCTAGCTTAGCGTATTCATTCGGACCCTCCGTCGAGAGGGCACAATGTTGTAATAAGGTGCGTGTGTGTGATGCATGTCTTCCAACCCCCATTTCTTTCTCCCTTTTACTTATCAGATTTCAATAGTTAGTTTTAGGGCATGTTTCAATTAGCATCCTTATGCTAGCATGTTTGCATTCATTCGTTTATCTTGCATGCACCGGGCTCGGCACATCATACAGACTGCATTGTATTTCAATACCAATTTGAATACATGTTATCAAGTTACATTCACATGATATCTTAGAATAGCCAAGCTTATTTTAGTTGCATTTTTGCATGTGTTGCATTAGGCATCTTAAACATAGTTAGGATCATGCATTGATTTCTAACTAGCTTCTTTTTTGGCTCAGAGTACTAGGTAAGCTTTAACGCTTTAGCATCCTTGCATGAGTGTGAGTGTTGCCATGATAGCATGCTTGACATGAGGCTATCTACTTAATTGATATAGCTGCATGAATGCCTGTTGATGAAGGCTTCATTGCTTGAATTGGAACAATTCATCAAAATGCGAGTTTTAAGCCCACTTGAGAGTGGCAAAATCATGTTTTCCTAAGCCCACTTGAGGGTGGCAAAACCGAGACTTAGCCTACTTGCGAGTAGCAAACCATTTTCAAAAACAAATATGAGATGTTTTGTTCCAACTTGAGCGATTTAGTCTATACTTGTATGCTGTGTGCATCACATAGTAAGCTAGCTAATAAATCAGAATAAGAACACGTGTTTTCAAAAACAACGTATCATGTTAGTAAAGGCCGATCTTTGATCGGGTGAGCGGGGGTGCTCATTGCATGACCTTCCCCTCTCGTACCCAAGTTCCCGAGCCAAGGTAACTTTGGTGATGACGGACACGTGCCCTTAGGCACGAGTCAGGGTTTCCTAAATTTTCCAAAAACAAAATATTTAGGTGGCGACTCTGAAATCTGGCAAAGCAGTCTATGTTTGGCGCTTTTTGTTTAAAATCGATTTTCCAAAATGATTTGCCAGATTTGGACTCTTTGGTGATTTATCAGTCTCACATTACACTTCGTGAGATTAGATTCAGAACCGTGACAGGAGTCCGAACTGTAGTAGCTAGAACTACAATTCGCGCCCTCGAGCGTGGAGCCGAGTTTCGGGCGGTCTACAACTTGTATTCTAATTAGTTCATAAAACATCCTTATATTTCAATAAATCTTATTATTTTGGACCTTTAATACACTAAATCCTAATTATCATATTTAAGGTATTTTATAAATAATTCTATCCTTACACATATTTTTTGAACTCTTACCAATTTGGCTATGTGAATATTTACATTAAATAAATTTGATAGTATGAATGTTCACGTTGACAATGTGAATATTCAAATTGACAGTGTGAATGTTCAAATTATAAAATATTCACACTATCAATGTGAACATTAATGCGTGCTTTACCTTATTATTATTACGGGTATTTTGGTAATTATGTCACCCATGCAATTTATTGATTTAAGAAAATAATTTAGATCAAGTGAAATATAAATAAATGAAAAGGAATTTATGAATAAATGCAATAAAGAAAAAGTTTATACATGATAACATGTCAAAACAATTGGTGAATAAATGCAATAATTTAAACATCATAACTTGTCAAAACAATTAGTGAGAATAATATGTTAATAACGTAGTAGTGTTGGACATTTTGCACAATCAAAATATGTTAAAAAAGTTTCTCTATAAAATGGAGAAAGTTTTAAGGTGTTTAAGTATTTGACTCATGTTTAAATGTTCAAAAAAAAGTATAAACTTACTTTTTCAAGTTTCTAAATTATTATCAAGTTATGTGTGTGATGAATAATATCTGAGACAATTATGTAAGTCACTATTATGAATTAACCACAAGTTGATTAGCCCTATTTGGTAGAGCTGTGGGAAAGTGCTTATAGCTTATGCCTAAACAGCTTATAGCTTATAACTATGAACATAAGCTGATTTCTGACTTATTCTTAAAGCATCTCCTGTCCCACTCAAAGAATAAGCTGATTTCTGACTTCCAAAAAGCTATAAGCTATAAGCTATAAGCTAAACCAAACACATCAAAAAAACTTAAATTAAGCTGAAAGCTGAAATAAGCTGATTATAATTTCTACCAAACAGGCACATTGTCCACTAGAGACAATTTACTTTCTAAATAAAAACATAAAGGGATCTATAATATATATATAGATTTTTCTTTTTATCATGTTAGTTGATTTTTTCGTAGTTGATTAGAAAGTTAAATAATTACTAATAACCATTTTGTATAATGTTGCATCTTTGTCAAACCCTAGACAAAAGTAACCGAGTTTGAATGGGAATGCATTAAAGAAATAAACTAATTAGTTTGGGTAAATTATATTGTATCATTAATTTTTGTAATTTAAAGTATTATTTTAATCTATATAGTTTTTAATTTGAATAATTTTTTTCTTTCATTTTTAATTTTATTGCAATGTGGTCCCTACGTCACTTACCACTAAAATTTAAAATGAAAAATGACTTTGTATAAAATTCGAGGAATTGAAGTAAAATTCGAGGAATTGAAGTGAAATTCAAAACGAATTATAGGGACCATCGGTGTAATATATTCATTATACAGGTGGGTTTTATATTTTGTTTGGCCCCCTTAAGTTTGCATGTGGTTTTTGCTGTTCAAAATCTTGACAATGTATGACGGAGGGAACACATTACAAGACCAAATAGTTCAAATTATTACAAGAATCAAAGTGAAATTTTTGCTCAAACTAGAAGGACTAATAATGTAATTTACATAATTAGTTTTGATGATCTCATAGCATACGTGTTCTTTTGTGTTTGCTTGAATGGATATGGGTTGATGTTGTCATCTCGAATGACCAAATAATAAGGGGCACTTATCAATAAATCTCATACACAAAGTTCAAAATTCATTTAATTCCAAAACAAAATACTTACACCAATTAGTCCTACATATTTTTAATTGTTACCAAAAACTCTTTTTTTATTTTTATTTTTATTTTTATAACTTTAAAAATGCTACTACATCCAATGACTTCCGTCAGACTCACCGAAGATTCGTCGGAATATTCAACATCACTGGAAAGTTTGCCGGAGCATCACCGGAAGTTTGCCGGAGTGTTGTGAGCATCGTCGGAAGTTCACTGGAGTGTTCTGAGCATCGTCGGAAGTTCGCCAGAGTGTTTTGAGCATCATCAGAAGTTCGCCGGATTGTTTTGAGCGTCACTGAAAAATGTCAAGAATATCATCAGAGACTCATCGGAATATTCAGAATATTGTTCGAAAAAAAAGAATAAATGGATAAATTATAGTTTAAAAACATAACAACAACAAACAACAATGGGAAAAAGTATATATTTTTTTTCAATTTTTGTAGGGTTTAAACAAATAATCCGTAATATTGATCAAACTAAAAAGTAAGCTTTGAAACTGTAAAATGTTACAGTTTCAAACCATTATTCTATTAAGCTGGAAAACATGTTATGAAACTGTAAAATTTTACAGTTCTAAAGAATGTTATGAAATTACAAAATTTTGTAGTTTTAAAGTATGATTCATTTCAGCACCAAAAAAGCTAAAACTGTAAAATTTTATTGTTTTCGCCGCCTGTAACTAAAACTTAAAAACAACTTATTCAGAATTTGAAAATTTTCTCCATTAAAATAGAAAAATGGACGTATGTAACGGAGAAAAGGTAGAAAATTTGAGAAATCAAAGGAAATAATAGATATAGAAAGAATATTGTACTCCAGCAACCATTTTTTATTTAGATCTAGTTGGATCTCATGTAGATCTACTCAAATCTGATGTAGATCTCATCTTCTTCGTCGTCGGTGATGATGAAGTCACGAGTTGATGTCAGTGGTTGGTGGTGAACCCTAATCAATGGTAGTCGTTGGTCACCGGTGACTATATATTAGAAAGAGAAATAGAATAAAGAAGGTGTGATCACCAGTCGTCGAACATGATAAAGAGAAAGAGAGGAAAACACAAAAAATAGAGAGAGAGGAAAACGTAAAGAATGAGACAAGAAGCAGAGAGAGAAAGAGAGAGAGAGTAAAACATGTAGGATTTTTGGATCTACTCAAAAAGTTATTGGATTAAATAGTGTACACATATTTCAAACAGAACCTACGAGTAATTTCCCCAATGCTAATAAACAACTATATTTATTTGACAGAGTCCAGTGTTGCACTGCACCACTACTAGAAAAGGAAGTATTGGACACGAAACGTTTTGCGACGGTTTAAAAATCATTGCAAAAACTATGTTTTTGTGACAGCAAATGGCGGCGCTGTCAAATAAATTTTTTTGCCATGGAAACTTCAAGACCATGGCAAAAAATAGTATTTTACGTGACGATTTCTACCCCATCGTCTTTTTTTTTTTTTTTTTGCAATTGTTTGTTTTGTTTTGTGACGCCATTTATTCTTCCGTCGCAAAAACTTTTATTTTTGCTTCCCGCGCGTTCCTCTTTGCCCTATCTTCCATCCCCTTTCAGTATGCTCTTCTCAAATCAACTAAAAAAAGGGGAAAAAAAAAACGTCTGTCTTCTCTAGTCGCCATTCTCTGTCTAACTAGAGCTCCCAGTCATTACAGCCCCAACAGCACCAGCGTGGGAAGAGGTAACCCTCCTCTCCTCTCCTTTTCTTTCCTCTCACACTCGCTCGCACCAACCCTCACAATCTCTCTCTCTTGCTTTCGCTCTCGAGTTAGCCTCACAGACTGTCTGTAGCAGCGGCGGCAGCGACTTTCCACGGGTTCTCCATCGGGCATCCAGGTATATCTCTCCTCTGCTTTCCTCTGTTGTTCACTCCTCTTTTTCTCTTCTTTTGCCTTCATTGGAATCAAACCCTCTTCATTGGATTTTAACCCTAAACACCAATTTTAAAAAAATTAGGTTTTGATCTCAATTGAAAGAGGGAAACAAGTGGTCGTTCTGGATCTTTTGGATTTTCCCATGAAGTGTACTGTGGATATAACCTCATAAAGCGCCTACCCCAATCTCTGCAAGTATACATTTTAATTAGACAAAGCCTCATGGAAGCTAAAGCTTCACATGTTTTTCTGAAATATAAGCATTTTAATACTTAACAAAAATCAAAACTCTGAAACATGTAACAAACACTGTTAAAATAAATTGATGACTTAATAACAAAAAAATAATGAAATAAAACATGCCCCTCTTGGAGTGGGGGAAATTCAGCGAATATTCTACCTGAAACTCCAATGCTGAATCATTCAACACTAATAGAATTGGTGTTCCAATGCCAGTTCTCTAGTTAGGCCAGGTACTGTTGAATATTTTTCGTGTCATCTGAATGTTAACTCCTTGCCGTTTGTCTTACATAAAAATTTCATTTGAAATGTGATTTTGCGGGAAGTTATTAGAATTTAGCCAAATAGTTTTGGCCTAGTGAATTGAGATGATGCAATGAAGAAATACTTTATGCTTTTAAAATAGGAATTTACTAACTAGGAATTTTATGTCTATATCAAAATTGAGAACTTGGGAGAAGATGACAATCAATAATATTTTTCACTGGGTTAATGTTAAATTTTCTAGAGGAAACAAAACATAGTAAGTATTTAATTACAAAATTTCTGGTTCCTTGAATTATTGTTAAATTTAGTTAGATTGAACAATAAGAAGAAGAATAGAGAATAAAAGAGAAATTGTATATTGGGATGGGAAGAGAGAGAGAGAGTGAATTAGGATTCTCTCCATCATCCTCTTGTATTAATATTGAGGGGTTGTTTAGGGTGTTCTCAATAAGTACACTTTTTGACTTTTTGGACTAAAAAGTTGAGGAAAAAAAGATGGTTGTTTGGGATAACTTTTTGACCTTTTACGAAAAAATGTGTATTAAAAAATTGTATAAATTAGTGTATATGAGAAGCTTGGGCAGAGTAGGCAGTACGGTGGGCAAAGTAGTGTATAGGAGAAGCTTGTCTCCTTTTCGGGCATTGAATTGGACGATGCTGTTTGGCCTGTGGGGGCCCACCGCGGGTCCCGTTTTGCTAATTAGAACCGTTCAATGTATAAAACTCGTTGAGTACTATATGCTTGTAAACAATCACGTTAATCGGATATCGATATCTATCTGATCAGTGTAGTTTTTTGTCAGCCGTTAACTCTAACACCATCCATTTTTTATACAAAACGGATTTGATCATGTAGTTAGCGACATCCGATCAACCTGATTTTTTACAGGCATATATTACTCGAGGAGTTCTACATATTGAACGGTTCGGATTATCAAAACGGGACTCGTGATGGGCCCCCACGGATCGAATAGCACCGTCTTGTTTGCTTCTCTGCCTGTTCCTTTTGTACAAACGGTGGGCAGCTAAAGTACAACTCACATGACATGTGAGTTGTACGTTTTTTTTGTAAAATTATTTTTTTTATTTTTATTTTTGGTGAATAGTGATAACTTTTTAACTTTTTTATTTACTTTTTGGCTTTTTTGAGGTATCCCAAACCAGCCCTAAATTGGTAACTACAAATACACTTCCAAGTTTACATAACACGTAATACTTATCATGCTCAACTTGCAAATAATGGGGTGAAAATTCTTACTACCAAGCCTTTTAGTGAATATATCTTCTAACTGACATACAAATCAAAACCTTGCTCAACTTTTTCTTAATAAATTGTCTGTCAACTTCAATATTCTTGGTTCTATCATGTTGAACTATATTATGAGCAATGTTGATGGAACCTTATTTTGAAAAACCATAAACAACATTCAAGAAACAAAAGAAACCCATAAAGCTTCATTTAAGCTCCAATTACCTCAGCTGCTGCCTCAACAGGCTCCTCAGCAGGCCTTTCCATTCTCACTCCAACATCCTCCGTAGAGTAGTCACCATGGACCTCCATCAACTTGCCAAGATCAAACTTGGGAGCTTTCAAGTTCTTGACTTTGGGAATGAAGACATTCTGCAGAGGGTAGATGCTTGAAGTTGTCTTCTCAATCTCCCTATCAATTGATTCAGGAATAAACTTCTGGACCAAATCCTTCAGATCACAAGATTGCGCCTGGTTTACCATGATCAGAATATAGATCTTTCAACTAAACCTAGAGCCACATAAGCTCCCAAATTCCATGAGCCACATAAGCTGCCACATAAGCTCACAATATAGATCTTTTAGTTTCTTGAAACTTCTAATTTTTAATGAAAAATTAAGTAATTTTTCTCTTTTCAATGCATCTCAAATTATGAACAACTTTGCTTATGTTATGAAAGTAGAAAGAGAAGAGAAAAGAGAAAGTATATATTGAATTGAATAATGAAATACAAGAAGCATGTGTTTATAGGCTGAGAAGAAACGTAGATAAGTATAGAAAAGGAGATAAAGATACATCAGAGATAATTATAGAAAAAGAGATGAGATACATCTATAATACAGATAGATAATTATAAAACAATCATATATATATATCTAACAGCTTATCTTCACAAATTTATATTTGTAATTACAGTTCGTCCTGAGAAATTTGCTAAAATAATTCTCTTTTTCTTGTTTGTTGGGTTCATTTAACAGTTTTTTTCTTATTAGTATTTTATTGACAATTTCTTGCAGAACCAATTACTTGCAATGAATTACATACATGAGGGAACAGATGATAACATATGGGTTAAGAACAATTTTAAGTTGAAAGATTACTCAATTAATGATATTCGTGTCAATCTTTATCAAGTGAGAATTGGCAACTGAATCATAAAACTGAGGCAGCAGTGGGAGTGTTGGTTGCTGTTTTGTTCTGTTAATGCTGGTGCTATTTTCTTTTTATTGTTTTCTGTTGGTGTCTTGCCAACATTTAGTGTGTCAATCTAGTTGAGATATGTTCCACTAGCAATGATGCAATGTTATCACCAAACTACTGGATTTGAAAACAATTCAAATTTGCAGATGTTATAATAGCGGTTAGTGTTTTGATAATGATACTTCTTCAACTCCGGCAACGTTCACGCATTCCATAGCTATAGCAAACATGCAATTTCCAACACATTCTGTATTGAATAATTGCATACCATAGCAAATAATAAAGCCTTTTGTCTTGAGTACAATTCTATAGCACAATAAATGTGTTCTTTAATACTATCAACTATTCTCTTAGCCCTTCTGTCTCTTTCTATCCATGCAGCTGTAACAGCTTTAATAAAAGACCTTATTCTATCCTTTTACAATTGTTTGAGGAGCAAAAACTAACAAAATAGTTACTAAAGCTAGACACAGCTTAGTTGGGCCAATTGTAGAAGACTTGCATAGTGCCTATCCAGGCCTATTCAATTCAGGAATAAAGGCTATTTCTCATGAATGATGCAAGACAACATGCTGCTGTCCTCTTCAAGTCTTTTGTTGGCCTTGGTTGGATTCTGTTCCACTTATTTTGAAGAAGCTCTACTTCTGTATAGATTGTACCTTCTTTACTTGAGTAAGATATATGTGTGTGTGCGTGTATATTCAGTTTGGTTTGGGACCTTGAGTAAACTGACCCTGCAATCCATAGCCAAACAGCCTTTTTTTTTTTTTTTTTTGAAGTCAAACTTTGAACTGGGAGCAAAACAGAAGCACTGATGAACAGAGCCAAAACAAGCCAATCAGGTTTTGGTTCATATTCTAGCTTTCACCAAGAATATGTAGAATGTGGCCCTTGTAGAGGTCAGTACTCTGATTTCTTTGGGTGAACTAACACTTCAACTAATAACTGATATCACATATGACATACCAAGGCCACAGCTTTTAATTCAAGGTAGTGGATTTTCTTAATTGCAACTTCAAACTGCACTAAGTTCTCCATTTTTCTGAGTTCCCATTTGGGAACATTTCAGCTGCATGCTATTTTTCTTTCCGCATTGGACAGTTGAACCTCACCTAATATAAACATATGAGTCTCCTTTCCCTTCCAAAGATGAGGCTTATTTTTAAGGAGATAAATTTACAAATGTTGGCAACCAGTATGCTGCTGCTGAATAAGAGTTGTGGAACTTGCTATAATGGCCAAGCAAATTGACTGTATGATCATAGTCTGGGTGAGTGCAATTTCTGCGAGCTGCTCCAGAATTTGGTCATAATCCTATAGCTTACCTCCAACTCAAGAATCAATATGAGACATGCCCTTAGAATCTCCCATGAGTTGATTGATTCTTCCTTCACTTGTAAAAGTTTTGACTAAATTTTTCTAATTTTTAAAATTGTATAGTCGAAAAATGGACCTAAAAAGGTACATAGATAAATTTTTTTTTTTTTTTTTTAACTAAAAAAGAAAGAGAATATTTTGGTCTTATCACAAAAGAATTAAATTCATGCCAAGCAAACATTCATTACTTGTTTTGATTTCTATGCAAGTGGAGGTAGTTGGCTTCATTTAATACATTCTAACTAGTGCCACTTGTCAACAAAACCCCTCTAAAAAATTAGTAAAATGGTAAAAGCTTGGCACTAAGAGTGAGAACAAGGGTTTGAGTACAAGTGCAGCTGGGTAGGCACTCTGCAATTAATGCTGAAGGATAGGTCTATGATTAGTTCACCTAGAACTTTTTTTTCATTATAAACAATAAGCTCAATATTCGGACCCGCGAAAAGTACTCACTCCACTCCTAACCTCAAAGAAGTTGCATTGCCAAAAAAAAATAGAAAAAAAATATCATTGTGTACATATAATCTCAATTTTAAGCTGACAGAAAACGTAAAATTTGATATTTTCCAAAAAATAAATAAATCAAAGCAAGAAATTGTAAGATTACACTATCAACATGCTGCAAAACTATCAATTCTCGTAACTCAACAACAGGGATTGTGTCCTGCACAAAAAATAAAAAATACAATACACTACATAAATTTACAATATAATATAATTTTAAGTTCTTCACAAAACAAATGGGCAAAAAAAAACATTTGGATACTGTATCTATTTCAATAAAAACTACCAATATGCAATCAATAGAGTGTAAGCACAATATCACGAACTATGTTGAAAAAATCATCTATGTACTGATAAAACGGGTTGCATTTCAAAAGGAAAACCACAAAAAATTCCTAATTTCTACAACTAATAATTAAATATACATCAGGAAAGAGATGTGAAGATAATTTCAGAAGATTGGACTCCTTCGTCAATTGTCGCTTCACCCATTTAGAAGCCTCTCTTGATCGAGAATTGGACACGAGAATGCCAACTCATTAAACAATGTTCTACATATGTGGTTTCAGTCTAAACATAAAAGAAGTATGCATGCTCTCAACATTCTCACACTCGTAACATTTTAGAAGCTTCAACTCTTTTCTCCTCAAACATATAGTTCTAACAATCGTAACGTGATGCCTCTAGACGATGCCCCGTATGGTTCAACATTTAATCTGTGCATGGACAAACCTAGTTACCAAAAAACGCAAGGCTTTCTTGACAGGACTTGTACAAGTATTTTCGCACATCCCGCCTTCACCCCCCTCGATTTCTCTCTTGGTGGGGCAACTTTGGCTGAGCAGTACTAATTATTACTATATTCAAACAACAATGTGCATTAGTTCTGGTGGTTGTTGCTTCACACATCGGTAACACCAGAAAAGATCTTTTCAGGATCAGGTAAACGTTATTGATAGAAAAAACACATCATCATTTACTTTATTTCTTTTTAATATCACAACCAAAACTCTGCTTGCCAAGACCTGAAAAACCAAATCGACGATTGACAGAAGATGTGAGGTCAGAGCAACTCACCAGGAGACTAAATTTAAACTTTATTCTATACAGTTCCCAGGTATATGATGTGGGCAAAACTAGTATACATTAACTTAATAATTAACTAGAAATTGTATCCCCATGACAGCCACATCTCCTAACACAGACAAAGCTTACATTAGGCCTGCTTCTGTTGGCGAGTAGTTGTAGTAAATTCTGGCGTGACGTGCCTTCATGGACCTAGCGTCATGGCTCTACAAATTATTCGCTGTTTTACAGTAGCAGCTATTCGTTTTCTTATCTGTCATTGCTGTGTAATTGTAATTATAGAAGTAACTCATGGCAGACAGGAGAACTACGACACAACTGCAGTTACTTCTTAGATGCAGTGCTAGACTTCTGGGCGATGTGCGCAAATGGTGGGTGCTCTTCAAAGAATCATGTGCAAAGAGCTTTAACATAACTCTGGTTTAACTTGCAGCTAGTATCAAAATAAAAAAGGACAGTAGCTGAATCTCTAGTACTCACTAAATAAACGACAGGGCAGTGGCTAAATCAGAGCTGTCTTCACGATGTTGTCACTTGACGGAGCACACCTGGGAAAAGGAGGGTCTCACGCATCCCAGCAGATCGTTTTTTCCTGACGCAAGGAAATAACAGTCTCTGCTGGAAGCGTAAATTACACGAAAGATAGAAACTGATATGCGTCAATGCGTACTTCGCCGTACTACCCAACTAGCCCCTCTCGAACGTACAGATCTACTGTAACCCTCACTGGAGGTTAGGAAACCTTGACACAAGCAAACCAGACAAAAGAGTCAAATGATTGTTTTCTGAAAGGATAATGAACCAAGCGTAAGTCAGTTTATTTGAATGGCTCGAACAGGTGCCATTCATGTGATATCTAGACGTCGGTGTTCCCAGATAAAACCACATTCCATTGCCCGTCTCATAAGGGGAAATGGCGTTGGGGTAATCTGCTAATATATTTCTCTATCTCTATATAAATATTTAATCAAATTATCTAGTGCAGTGAAAATTGGAAAGATAAAGTGGGGGCAAACTGCATTTGAGCTGGCTGTCTGCCGCTTTGGTGGCATTGTGAGGTTAGACATAACATGACATAGGGATAAAATGAGTGGACCTCAGAATCAAAGATGACAGGCTCCGAAAATATACAATGTACATGTGGGTCAAAGCAAGTTTGGACTTTAATAAATATATAGTTTACATAGAGTGTTCAGCTGGCGAGAATGGAGATGACGAAGAACAAGGCAAACTTGGCATAAAGAGATTGTTGAGCTTGACTGGATGCAAGAATGAGATATACAAGTAACGATTGTTCTTAGACCTGTCCATGGCTTGATCAGCCGTCTGCCATTACGTTCCAAGTTTCTCATTATTAGCTCTAAGTCGTGTGGATTGATCGCATTTATATTCACTTTTCAAACTCAGCACACTCACTTCACACACACAGCAATAGCGCAGGTCGCGAGTGGAAGAGGTGGAGAAGTTGGTACCACACACTCACCACGCTACGCCTTCACGACTTCATAAAAATTCATAGAAGTTAAAACATGTGGCAAAAGAATTTTTAACCATGAAGCAGTGTTTACTTAGATCTCATCCATGATGACAAGTTAGGCCCACAACGATGATTCCATAAAACAAGTGCCATTCT